TATTATTGTTGTTTATTTAAATTTGTAGTTGTAGTTTTTTATTTATAAAACCTTTAAAATGCCATTAATTGATTAACAACATGTTATGAAAGTTATTCATCATTAAATTTCCTTAGGGGCCGTTCATAAAATACGTCACGCTAAAATCAGCTTTTTCCGACCCCCTCCCCCCCTATTGTCACCCTGTGTCACACTTTCTGTGACCCCTCTTGAAATATTCCGTCACAAAAACGGAGACCCCCCCCTCCCCAAGTATGATTAATTTCAATTGATAGTACACAAATTTTAAGAATTTAAATATTTATTTAGTTTTTATAATAAAATTTAAATATATAAATATGCGCTAATGTCGAAAAATAAACATGAGTAAATATATCAAGTTACAATTTATTGTATAATAAAACTGTATACGTTTGAATGTCTATCTATATGTTTACTAAATACGAAATAAATGATTTTCTATCTTGATGAAAATTGAGAAAGAAAAATAGTTGAAAGAAATACTAATTTAAAAAATTTTAATGAACGACGAACGTCACGTTGCCGTAGGCCCCCCGTCCCCCCTTGTCACATCTTGTCACACTTAGCAAGACCCCTCCCCCCCCCCCCTGTATGCGAACGTATTTTATGAACGGCCCCATAATAAATCTTTTTTTTATTAAATAAATACTTTTAAAGTTATGAGTCGTTAACATAGCAATAACGCAGTATATCAGAGTCTTGTATACGTGCTATTGATTCTCATCACTAATATTATTTATAATATTTATATTTTTTTCCCCTATTTTTTTTATTACATTTTTTACAATTAATTGATAACAATCCAACACAAATCATCATCAGCTTCAATTTGTATGAAAGTAAGTGAATTTTTCGGATACTTCTGTAATTTCATTTCAATGCCCGTTTATGCGCACATTAACGACAAAAGTATTTATTTAATAAAAAAAAATATACAAAACTTGTAGGGAATTTAATCACGAATAACTTGTATACGACGTTTTTTATCAATTAATGACATTTTTAAGGTTTTATAAAGGAAAAACTACAAACATGTTCAAATAAACAACAACAATTGAAAAACGTTACGAGTTATAATAAAAAGTTTTAGAGAAAGAAGTTAGAGAAGTTAGTAATAAACAAAAAACACTCTAAATTTTTTCCATACAGTCAATAATTTAGGAGATATAGCTATAAACGCGTTCTCCAATAAAGCGGCCAGTTGTGACCACCCTACATTCCCCGATTTAAACTTAAGCTTCTTACAATCTACCCTTATGTCTGTAAAAAAAGCTAGAGTGCGGTAAAATGTTGCATTTCGATCAAGTATAACAAGTTTAAGCTCGAGGGCGGCCAAAGTACATATTGGCCCAACATAATAATATATTTAGAATAGAAATTCACAGTTCTATTTATTTTAGATGGAAACAAAATTTTAATGGCAACCCTGAAAATACTGAAACTATACCGACCATAACTTCAATGGATTCGATTGCAACGGAAACTGTAAGTTTTTCATGTTTTTATTGGAAGTAGACAATGAAAAGAGAAATTAAATTTATAATAATAAATTTAATTATATAGGAAAAAGTGCTGTTGGATTGGAAATCGAAGCCGAGGAACAAAGGGAAGCGTCAAACTCAAATGTAAATATTATATCTGTTTTATACTGACTTAATGGGTATTTCACTACTACACTAGGTACATGGTTTACAATATTAGCAGTTTGGTTTTTTGTTTTAAACTTAAACTAATGGGATGCATTTCTAGAGCAAAAAAGTTTATTTTTAATATTTTATATTAGACTTCTTTGCTCCATAAGTTCAATTGACAGTAACTTGCTGATTTACGTACCATATCTTTGTCTGGATTAGAAATGTATTTCCAGTATTGCCTATATCTGTTTATTAAATGAACTATGAAGGCAAAGACAAAACTACACTTAGTACAGTTTTACTGAGATATTTGATTATTACCAAACATCAATCAGCATTAAAAAAGTCAATACTAAAAAACACAAGTAAATAAAATATTATTTCTCATTGCCACTCGAAAAAGTGATAACAGTGAACAAACTTTTCATTTAATTACTGAGTGAATAAAAAAAAATTAACAAATAGAAGTTATGCAAAGCATACATATAAAGTTACAATAATTAGTAATAATCATAATTAATCTTTATTGTCATTTCCAAAACACAACCAATAGGTACTATAAATATATTATTTATTTTCTCACAATAGTAAAAAAACTTAATCCTTGTATCCTTTGCTCCACTCAGGATTCCTATCTAGAATCGTTCGTTGCTACAGTAGGGATCCATCTTAGCACTTCAAATTAACTTTATTTTATATTTGCATTTATTGTATAATCAATAATTGCATATTAAAGTATCAATTTGGTAAAGCGCGCTATACTGAACATCGCCGCGTCGATGTCTCGCTAGGGATGCAAACGATACATCGATGTTTGTAAAACATCGAGGTATCGGACATAAAAATCGATGTTAACATCGATGTTTTGATGTGCGATATATCGTCGATACATCGTTCACTACATTTACAAACATCGACATCGTTCTTGTCAATCACTGTGATGTTCGCTCGCATTGCATTGTTGTGCTGACAGGTAAAGAGTAGATGAATTTGATTAAATATAATTTGATTATTTGACTACATACCTACACACATTTTAGATTTCTTGATTGGGTGAGTAAAGTAGTTAGGTTTTGATGGTTTGTTTTTTCATTAGGTTTTAGTTGGCGGGTACGTGAAAATTGAGCGTATACTTTTAAGGTTAAAACAAATACAAAACGAATAGCTTGTTGATTAAAGCAGCTTGTGAACTGATATTTCATATTAATTTATTTATTTGCCTAATGGAATGATGAGAATCATTTTGTTATAATTTAATTTACCATCATGTAATTCTTATTTTTTGCCTTTAAGCATCGAGCATACTTATTCCGAATAGAGCGGTATTGTTAATTGTTTCAATGAAGCATCCTATTAAAAATAAAAAACATCGATATATCGCTCTTATCAACGATATTTTGAACATCGATGTTTTTCATGCAAACATCGATGTTTTAAAATATCGATGTTTTTCAGAACGATGATGTTGCATCCCTATGTCTCGCTCGTGCGACTCGGACACGCTCGCGGCCGTATTTACCTAAATTAGAGCGGCGCAATTTTGTAAAAGGGCTCTGGAAAAAACGATAAAATGCACAACTACAACCGCCTAAATCTATGAATTATGTAGATTGAATGAACTAGTTTAAATTAATTGCCACGTTATCAAAAACATGTTTTTGTTGTAACATAATGTAAGAAAATATTGATTTTCCGACTCATTAATTTAAAAAAAAATATATCTAATGGACGTAACTTATACCTAATAATGACGCAGATTTGCATCTTGTTTTGATATTGAATAAAATAATCTACAATCATCAAAGAACTGAAATATATATTCAAAGATCTGAAATATCTCACTATTACTCGCGCAGTGAGAATGTGACCAATGGTAGGGGTATCGAGCGCAGTAAAAGACGACGTCAGAGGGGAGACCGATATGTCTGCCAATAACATCTACCCGCAATTACTTCAGTTACTCCGTGATCACGGCGCTTGCAACAGTGCCGAAATATTGGAGACTCATAAAAAACAAGGTACATGGTAACAATCCCGTTAATAGCTATAATGTTAGTGACCATGAAAGTTTAAAACAATATATATTTTAATAACTTTATAAATTATTATTTTATAAGACCTATAAAACATCACCTGTAAAACGCAATACAAGTATTCAATACTAGTATGCACCTACTCCACATTCAGTACAGTGGGCGCCAGCGCCCTTCGAGACATACTAAGTCAGACTGGACATACTAAGTCCGCAAAATTAGATCTTTGATTTTATATACAACAGAAGTAGTAGTAACTTTATGAACCGTATATTATAGGTTTATTATTTAAATTAATTAATATTAATGCACTTTGGGACAGGCACTTACTGATGTGTGTCGTGACGTGAGTTGTCAATTGCGGAATAATTTTGTCACCAGGCAATAAAGGCTCGTAGGGTAAATTAAGATCAAGGAATAATACGTCCCGTAGGGTAAATTAGGATCAAGAAATAACACGAAGAATATTTTTATGTTATTTACAAAATTCTTGTGTTTGTAACAAAACTGTCACTGTAATTGTGGACGACTGATACTTAAAACGTGCGCTACGCGTGCATTCGACCGGCGTCGTCTCTTTGGCTAGGTACTATTATTAACAAAAATATACATTATGTATCTCCTGTCTCCTGTTCACCCGCGCAATCGAAATTGCTCTCGGCGTGCGCGGTTGACGTCAGGTTGGCAATCAAAAATTTGATTTGGTTTGAGTGATTTAAATAATACGTCATCGTTAATATAAAGGTATGTCATTTATTTTTATAAAATGCTATCGAAGGAAAACTTACTGACGGACGGTGGTGGAGCACTGATAGTCGCTTCATGAGGGCGTGCCGTCGTATGCGCGAGCATGCGAATTTTGGCATCCGCTGCCACGCGGCCCAGGAAGTGTGAATCGTACATTACTTTCTACCTATCTTAGGACTTGCATCCAAAGGACTATATTGCACCCGTAAATGCCAGTAATCACAAGCTGTTAGTTGAGTTCTAAAGTCTACAGATACATTGGTCCGTACCTATTCTTATTTGGTATTTAATATGTATTCGTTTCTTTTAATTTAATTACTCGTTGCTAAGGTGAGATGCTATAAATATGTTAATTTATTTATTAGATAGCAGCTTTCGATAAAGCTGCAACAGTACCCTTAGTGCGAGCTCACGAAAATTATCATAGTTTTCGTAATTGTTATACTGTTGCTAAGGGTACAAGTAATAATCAATCATATTTATCTACGATAATTGTGTTAAAAATAATTTAAATAATAAATAGAGATAAATCGCAGAGTATTAAAAGGTAGGGCTTTATTGAGCTGGCACTAGTCGTGAGTGTTGTCGAAAGGATGAAGGTTCTGCTGTACGCGTTGGCTTTGGTTGCGGTGGTGGCGGCGTATGAGGAGCCGACCAGGTTCTACCACAGCAACTATGGCGTAGCCGAGGCCGCGCGCATCAAGCAACTCGAACAAGCCTTGGACTTCGATGGCAGCAGGATAACTGGTGGTTCCAATGCGAACGTCGGTGCTCATCCTCATTTGGTGAGTAAAAATTCATCAAACACTTTAATGTCAAGTAAGTCAATAATTTGTTGATTTGATAAAAATCAGAAATATTACTTTGTGAACTAATGACGCACAATAGAGGATTGTCAAATAAAAATATTAGTTTTCAAAGTATCACACCCTCAGCAACTCTTTGGAAAGACATGAGTAGCATTTTGCATTACGGTAGCTGACTTTTTTTGGAACGAAGTTCTTTTTCGAGCGGTATGGCGGATGAGGGCTAGCTTAGGATTTTAACGTCACAACTTAGCGAGGCAGCTAGCTAGGCAGCAGGGCGGATAGCTACATGTCAAATAAAAATATTAGTTTTCAAAGTATCACACCCTCAGCAACTCTTTGGAAAGACATGAGTAGCATTTTGCATTACGGTAGCTGACTTTTTTTGGAACGAAGTTCTTTTTCGAGCGGTATGGCGGATGAGGGCTAGCTTAGGATTTTAACGTCACAACTTAGCGAGGCAGCTAGCTAGGCAGCAGGGCGGATAGCTACATGGGCGACCACTGACGGTGGTGGTTGTGGACTTGATGAGTGATGGACCGGGATCGTGTGCGATGGACCGGGAGCATCCGCACTGGGCCCGTTTCGCAATGAGACCATTCCGCACTTGGTTCATTATGCACTGGGCCTATTGAGCAGAGGGCAAATTGCGCAGTGGGACCATGCCGCACTAAGCTAATTCCATTGGCACTGGGCCCAGTGCGGATGGTGGGTATAATACTTTATTTTTAATGGAATAGGGAGATTGGGAAATACGTAACTCGCCACGCGGGCCCAGTGCAGATTCGTGAATGGTATATAAATATTATTAACTTCGAGTTCGACGACGCTCATTTATTCGCATTTTTTTATTAGAAAGAAGATTGCGTTTTTTTAATACTATCATTTTAGTATTCAAATTATTATTCTCGGCATATATTTCCGACAAACCAACCGAGCATACTTTTGTTTGTGTTCGACCTTTAAGTCATACCTACCTACTCTCTCTCTCTTTCACTTCCGAAAGTTCCGAATGAAGTATTTTGCAAATTCTACGTAATGCTCGATTTCGATTAATTTTATTTTATGCTCTTTCTAACAGAAAAACTTTTTTCGAAATTTACAAACCGTGGATAAAATAAAGATAAAATTTATGTATCTAATTCAATTATATTTGTAACTTTATACTTCTAATTATTGACTAGTAATAAAAGATTGTTTTTAAAAATATATTTTCCTTTATTTTTTATGTAATAATATTTTCACATTGATAAATGCTTGGTCTCGCTTCGCTCAACTAGATTCACCGTGCCAGTCACACTGATAGTTGTGTATGAGGTGTACGTACCGAACGTTTACACAGTGAAATAACATTATAATAAAAAAGAAGGACACGGGGATTGCATACCATCAATAAGTATCGTAAAATTTCAATACAAAATACCATGAACCTTATTCAGGTGTGGCCGCGTACACAAGAATCAAGTTCCTATGGTTGAGATTTTTATAATGTGTATTTATTGTTAGTATATTTCATTATTTAATTCATGACATTATTATTAAACTTAACCTAGATTTATATTATCGATACTTGCGCTGTAAAAATATTACCGTACAAGTGCAATAATATACATTTTTTAAACAGCAAAAGTTTATGTAAGTACCCAAATCGAACATTTTTACGAATATTAAATTATTTCAGGCTTAGTATGATAAATAAACATTTCATTTCATATTTATAAACACAATAACTATCGTTATTAGAAACATCAATTTATATTTTATTTTATGTATTGCTGCTGTTCCGGCTGCACAGCCGGTTTTTCCTGTGCCATCCATGTAACCACATGAGTGCAATAAATTGAATTGCCTTTAATATTTGGTAAAGTTGCTGCTGTGTGGTTGATTAATTACTATAAAAAATATCTACATGAATAGTGAAAACGAGCAAAATATTAATTCCACCTCGCCGGAAATACTTATCGAGGCAAGAAACTCGAGTTTTCAACAGCTGCAAAAATCCATACAAAAATACCTTGCGGCTTACGAAATTTTCAATCAGTGGAAAAACGGCAAAAACGCTAAGTCATATTCGGAGAACGTATTTTTAACCTACTTTAATGAACTCGCTAATAAATACAAGCCCAGCTCTCATACACCGTAGCGGTGTATATGTTACTCTTTACAATACCCATGCAATGTATAGAAAGCTGTGGTTCAGCAGGTACTCTATACAATTCCTAGGAATTGTATACATTACCTAGGCGAAGTATAAAATCGAAAATAATATTTATAATGACATATAACTAGAAAAAAATCCACGCGATCCAGGCAGCAGACGGGACTAGAACCCGCACCCTTCGCAATCCGGGCGAATGCACTGACCAATTATGCTACCGCGGCCCTCACGGACCGCGCGGAAATTTTTCCTGCCTTGCAGCTTAAGAATGGCTAGAAGAATTTAATTTTTTTCTAGTTATATTTTCTTTAGATTTAAACACCAAGCAGTTACATGCTTTAAAATAATAAAAATCTCTTATCTATTAGACAAGTCCGTCCGTCCGTCCGTGGTGCTGTTTCAGCGGCCAAACCGTAAGAGATAGATATAGAGAATGTTTAAGTTATAAGTTAAGAATAGTCTGATAAGACTACAAACCGGATGTGAGTAACGTAGCACTTCCGGTTTTCGAGAAATCACGTGATTTCTATTTCAAATGAAACCACACAAAATCTCCGAAGTTCTCAATTAATTAAATACTTTTTTTTTTTTGGTGAACATTTGGTTCACTGGTTTGCTAGTTATAACTATAATTGATATTTCTTCTTTCAAATGTTTAATACTTGTAAAAAGTATTCATTTGACATTGTGGGTTACCTATAATGCGAAGAGAAGGCGCTGCCTTGCAGCTTAAGAATGGCTAGAAGAATTTCGACGCGGTCCGTGAGGGCAGCGGTAGCATAATTGGTCAGTGCATTCGCCCGGATTGCGCAGGGTGCGGGTTCGAGTCCCGTCTGCTGCCTGGTCCGCGTGGAATTTTTTCTAGTTATATTTTCTTTAGATTTAAACATCAAGCAGTTACATGCTTTAAAATAATAAAAATATAACAATATTTATAATATTTCATACATTGCCTAGACGCCCCAGGCATTCTATACATAGCCTAGGTATATAACCGCATTATACAGGTGCCGGTGACATTTATATTCCATATTAAAAAGTACAGTAAAGACCAAAAATTAAGTTGATTTATAAACATAATTGTAACTTGATAGCATTTCTAAAGAGACGTTCTGACCAACCGATGTTGAAAAGTTTTTGAAATAAGCTCCGGACAGTCAGTACTTGGCATGAAAGGTCAGTTAACTTTATTAAAGTTACTAACAATACAAGTTTCGTTTTCCTCGCAAACTTGTGTTGAAAAACGTCGTATGTAACTCGTGTGTATTGATCATTCATTACACACACGGCTTCCATACCGCGATCGCCTACGCCTCGCGCTTACAATTATACTTCGCGTGTAATGACCAACTTATATCATATTTTACTAGTAAATATTACATGTAAAGAAAATTAATACACACCTACCTTTTTTCTGAAGAAGAAACCTACGCCTTATCGTATAAGTACACAAAAATATTGATATATTCGCTTTTAATTAAGTTGCAAATTGACATACACACAAACAATAATGAGTTGCCGTATTTACGGAGTTTTTGTTTTTAGACAGCGCGTTATCTAGTCTAGCGAAGCGAGAAAATCGTTTATCTGTGTATTTTTGTTATAGGGTGGTATAGTGATATCACTGACGGATGGTCGTCAATCAATTTGCGGATCCTCACTGATCACCAACACTCGCTCTACGACTGCTGCTCACTGCTGGCATGACGGAAACAACCAGGCCCGTAGTTTTCAAGTTGTGTGGGGTTCCGACCGTTTGTTCACTGGCGGCACCCGTGTCAACACCAACCATGTCATTATGCACCCTAACTGGAACTTCCGCAACCTCAACAACGATGTAGCTGTAATCGTTCACGACTTCGTCGGATTCAACAGTAAGTCTCTCTGAAATAATATATAAAATTATTTAAACTACATTATAACAGATTAACGAATAATATACTACTTCGAGCTTATTGCTTTATTTCAGATAACATCAACAGGATCCAAATGGCCAGTGGAAATAATGCTTTCACCGGAGAGTGGGCAACGGCCGCCGGTTTCGGTCGTACTAGTGATCGTAAGTTCCCTATATTATTTATTAAAGATCAACACACGGTATTTAATTAGATAATATTATCTTACATTGTAATACAAACAGCCTCAATTGTCATCCTCTGGTGTGTCACGCCTGTGAAACAAATTACGGCGACACGGTTTGTATTTAAATGCAATAGATGTAACAATGTTTTCCAAATTCCATTTATAGTTTTGTTTGAAGTTGGTAAAAAACTATTTCACAGTTCCATCAATCACTAATAACCAGATCAAGAGGCACGTAAGCGTGCAAGTTATCTCTAACGCAGCGTGCAGTAATACTTTCGGCAGTATTATTGTCGGTTCGACCCTCTGCGTCGCCACCACTGGCGGCAACAGCCCTTGCCCAGGAGACTCTGGTGGCCCCCTTGCCGTCGGATCCGGCAACAATCGTCAACTCGTGAGTACCCATATTAAATACATTGACTACAGCTACAGGATGGAAAGGGTGTCAAATTTAACGATATCATAATGGGAAAAAATATACACTACATTTAGCATTTGTTAAATTTATATTTACGTACGGCTTCGTTGCCTATACTAATAGTTTCAGATTTATATAGATTTTGCAAAACACATGAAATTTAGGTTGCTATATCCGAAGCTACTGTTTATAAAGGTTTATCGTTTTAATGAGAAACACTGAAGTTTTAACTTGAAGATCGATCGGTACAATAGCAGTCTTTCGGTCGTCTGGTCTCGAGGTATTGGGTTCGAATCCCGAGACATGGTTTTATTCTATACCTTATTTTGTTTCTCACTTGATGTTGTTACAACCCTGCAAGTGATATAATAATTTAGTTTTTTGTTCTCTGTGACCTGAGGGAAGATATTTTTCTTCACAGATCGGTATCGTGTCATTCGGGGCTGCCGCTGGCTGTACCCGCGGCTTCCCCGCAGCCTTCGCTCGAGTCACCTCATTCAACTCCTGGTTCTCACAGCATATGTAAATTTTACGATGCGTTCAAGACGTCATTGGTTTATGTATCATAATGATTGTTTTTATAAAATATAAGCCTAGCTTATTTGATTTGGATTTATAATTATTAGAATAAGCACCATTGTGTTATGATTTTGAGCATAACAGTAAATCTATTACATTTTTGTATTAACCGTAAATTCTGTACAAAACTATAATATGTAGGTATACAGCAGTAACTAAGTCCTACAAATATAATAAATGAGAAAGGAAAGGAAATTAAAAATTCATTGCAGGCGGAGGCCCTCTTAAGATTAATAAAAAGTGTTTAACGGAACGGTTCCCCGACTGCAAGGAATGGCCTCCGATTGCCAGAAACTTTACCTAAAAACTTAGCTCAGAAACTCTTAGCAGTACAGTCAAATAAGACTTCCACCTCGAAATTACCTTCCTTTTGACATAAAAGGTAAAGGCAGCGTGTCAAAAGTCACAAATGGCGCTGCGTTAAGCGGGAGCACGAAGGCGCCGCCGCGTGAGGCGAGTCTCCTGCGCAGCGCTGTTCTATGAAATGATATAAGGCTATCGAACAAAAAAAAAATGGGTGCGTGTACTTATGTAGGCGCGTGAGAAGTTATCCTTCTTTGGCATCGTTTAAAATTAGTTTTTAATTGCATGCAAATAATTAATTACAATAAATTAATAAAAAGTCTGGAAAAGGACACAGTCAATAAAGTTCAGTTTTAATTTGAAAAAAAAAAACAAAATATTCAATTAAAATCGCTACTGAATATAATTTATTAGAACATATGTGATTTGCACTTGTATGAAACTCAAACACGTTTTCCGAATATACAAACTAGAAACATGTGGATAAATATTATAAACTAGCGGCCCGCCCTCGCTTCGCTTCGGTGTAGAGCTGAAGTGTAGACTACAGTTTTTGTTCTCAGGCTTGTATTATACACAATGACATTCATCTATGATTCTTCTTATACCTGCATGCAAAGTCTCAGCCCGATCGGTTTAAAATTGATAAAGTTTCATACAAACTTTCATTCCTTATTTTATCCCCTTGGGATTTTCTTTATATTTTTTTCCGTAAGAACCTTGTACAGAGTATTAGAAAACTACAAAAAAAAACAGCCAAATCGGTCAAGCCGTTTTCATGTTATGTCGTGACAACGGAAAACGGGTTTCATTTTTATATATATATATATGAAAACAGTCTCTGTTCTAAATTCAAAACTCGTAACTTTTCCCGATGTTTGTTGTACGTGTTTCCCACGCTAGGACCGCGAGTGGCCGCGCATGCGTACGGTGCGGCGGGCGACGCGGTAATGGCAGCGCGGCACATGAAGTTGGTTAAAGCGACCAACTTCATGGTGTTAATTTTTTGTGTTACAGATGCGCGCGCATCTTAAAATTTCACTCTCATAATTTTTTTATAACGCGCCTAAAGAAGTATAACTTCAAAAATAATTCTAACCAGTGCTTTTGGTTATTTTAATGTATAGATACAACATTTTAATAACTGAACAACAAACAAATAATATATCATTGGTTGAGAACATAACCGATGTTCAACAAAATCTAAATAATAACAAATATATGTATTTTCATCATCAAGGAGCTCGATGGCAAATGGTTTTCGCAATCGGCTGCGATCGTTGAAGTTACAAGTTCGCAATGGTCTGTCTTTGGATGGGTGCTCCCATATGCGCTTATCGCAGCGCACGCTCTAAGGGTCAACTCACACCGAAAGAGCGGCGAAGGGCAGCGAAGCGCAGCGACCCGCTCGGTAGAGAAGGCGCGCTTATGGAATTCGTCAGAATTCCCGCGGCGCTACGGAAGTCGTTCGAGTTTCTCATGCGATAATAAGTATTATATTAATGAAAATAAAGTTAAAATTCATATGACACTGAATCTGCGCTCCGCTTCGCTGCGCTTCGACGCTCTTTTGCTGTGAGTTGAGCCTAAGGCAGATGAGATATTCAAGGTCAAAGGTCACAAAAATGACATTTCTCGGTACTGCGGAGTTCTAGCCTGAGTGGATAGAACCTAGGGACGTAACTACCAATTAAAAGAAACTGGATTTTATATTTAATTTATTTGATTCAGGCGAATACAAGTTTTTTATCTAAGCTACGAAAGGGTTGGTGCCTGAAGATCGTCTATGTATGGAACCTTCTATCAAAAGACAGATGATTCCTTATTTCAAATCTTAAAATGATGACATTAACTTTTTAATATAACTGCCAGCCGTAGGCATTGCATGAACAAAGAGTTTACCTAAACAAGGAGGCTGTAACATAACGGACGTTACAGTACCTACCCATTGTAGCCTTTGACACGTTACTTCTTATGTCGAAAAGGTGGGCTCTACAAATTTTCAGCTTGTTACCTCATATTCCGAGGTTGATAATAATCTAATATGACTGGACTATGGAATCAGAAAATGTTATTTAGCATACATACATTATATTAGGCTACTCACAAAGTTTCTCCTCTCTGTGGGTAGCCTAATATAATGTATGTATATATCATATATATCATTTTAAATAAAATAGGGTAAAAACTTGTTAAGGGGGGGTGGGCTTTACAAGTTTTTTTTTATCAAGTATCGTTGAATAAATCTTTCAAAAATAAATGAAGAAATCCGTTTGTTAAAGTAAAAATAAATAAAATAGTAAATATTTTCAACACAACACCACCCAATTAGCCTAGCCCCAAAGTAAGCACTGTAGGCTTGTGTTATGGGATGCTAGTATAACGGATAGAATACATTAAATATGACATATTATAAAAGTATATTTATATAGAAATATATATTACATATTCATGACTTGAGTACAACTGAAAAATAATTAAAATAAAAAGGGAAGATGCGGCACTCGCGGCTCAAAAGTGATCCGCTTAAATAGTTCAAAATCAAATAAAATACGCTTCGGCAACACTTCTCATTCGTAAAACTGTAAAATGAGTTTTTCTCAAAAATCACGGTTTCGCGTGAATGTTATTTACGTAATCGCCATTTTGTTATCAAGAATAGGACAACAATACAGCTCATTCTTTATTCCACCATGACTTCTTAACGCCTGAACCGATTTAAATGTGTGTGGTATTCTTAGAATCCTTTCACCATCCCGGGCACGGTAATATTATCTATACAGTATTGTGACTCGGCCCTGTCGTTGAAATAACTGCCTACGACCGAGCGGAGCGTATCCACGCGGTAGGGCTGACCTCCTACAGTATTTTAATTTCATCTACATAATTGAATTTTTTTCTAGTTTTGTGATTGTAAATATTTTATTTCATATGTAAAAAAAACGCTGGGAATGAATTAGAAAGTGTTACATAAAATACATATTACTTTAAGTGTAATATTTAATAAAAAAAATATATAGATTTGAGACAGAAAAATATTTACGCCTCGACTGAGACGTTCTTATTTAGTTTTTATTTGGTATTTAATATTTATTCCTTTCTTTTATTTTAATAACTCGTTGCTGAGGTGTGATGCTATAAATATGTATGTATTTCTTAATTAGATAACAGCTTTCGATAAAGCTGCAACAGGTAATAATCAATCATATTAATCTACGATAAGTGTATTAAAAATATTTAAATAATAAATAGAGATAATTCGCAGAGTATTAAAAGGTAGGGCTTAATCGAGCTGGCACCAGTCGTGAGTGCTGTCGAAAGGATGAAGGTTCTGCTGTACGCGATAGCTTTGGTTGCGGTGGTGGCAGCGTATGAGGAGCCGACCAGGTTCTACCACAGCAACTATGGCGTAACCGAGGCCGCGCGCATCAAGCAACTCGAACAAGCCTTGGACTTCGATGGCAGCAGGATAACTGGTGGCTCCAATGCGAACGTCGGTGCTCATCCTCATTTGGTGAGTAAAAAATCATCAAACACTTTAATGCCATGTAAGTCAATAATTTGTTGATTTGAAAAAATCACAATCATTACTTAGTAAACTAATGACGCACAATAGAGGATAGTCAAATGATATTAGTTTTCAAAGTATCACACCCTCAACAACTCTTTGGATGTCTTTCCATTTAATTTCTTTAATTAGCATTTTGCATTTCGGTAGCTGACTTTTATTTGGAACGAAGTTCTTTTTCGGGCGGTATGGCCTGATGAGGGCTAGGCTAAATTTTAACGTCACAACCTAGCGAGGCTGCTAGCTAGATGGGCGACTACTGATGGTGGTGGTTGTGGACTTAATAAGTGATGGAGCGGGAGCGTCCGCACTGGGCAATAACTCATACATAACTCGCCACGCGGGCCCAGTGCGGATTCGTGGATGGTATATAAATATTATTAACTTCGTTCCAACCGAGTGTTCCCCGACACTAATTTTTTTATATATTTATACATTTTGTACACACAAATATAAATAGACAGATATTACAAAATAAGATAGTAGTACAAGGGCAGCTTATTTCAATCTGAAATTTCTTCCAGCAGGCCCTTTGTACCTACCTAATTATGATTAAATATATACACACATGAAAAAAAATGCGATCACTTTGAAAAATAGATTGTTTTTTGTGTTACAGAAGACCTTTTTGTAATTTCTTATTCAGTACCCATAGCATGAACCATTATCGAATTCGGATAGTTTGCAAACCGAAATGTCAATGTCGTGCTAAGGGTACTGTACCCATAGCAAAATAAAAACATAACTATAATTGCTATTTCTTCTTTCAAATGTTTAATACTTGAAAAAGTATTCATTTGACATTGTGGGTTACCTACGAGTACAATGCGAAGAGATGGCGCTGCTTGCAGCTTAAGGCTAGGAAAATTTCGACGCGGCCATCAGGGCCGTGGTAGCATAATTGGTCAGGGCATTCGCCCGGATTGCGAAGGGTGCGGGTTCGAGTCCCGCCCGCTGCCTGGTCCGCGTGGTTTTTTTTCTATTAAAACTTTTCTTAACATTTAAACATCTAGCAGTTAAATGCTTAAAAATAAATAAAAACATAACTATAATTGCTATTTCTTCTTTCAAATGTTTAATACTTGAAAAAGTATTCATTTGACATTGTGGGTTACCTACAATGCGAAGGCATGGCGCTGCCTTGCAGCTTAAGGCTAGGAAAATTTCGACGCGGCCATCAGGGTCGTGGTAGCATAATTGGTCAGTGCATTCGCCCGGATTGCGAAGGGTGCGGGTTCGAGTCCCGCCCGCTGCCTAGTCCACGTGGATTTTTTTCTAGTAAAACTTTTCTTTAGATTTAAACATCTAGCAGTTAAATGCTTAAAAATAAATAAAAACATAACTATAATTGCTATTTCTTCTTCCAATGTTTAATACTTGAAAAAGTATTTATTTGACATTGTGGGTTACCTACAATGCGAAGGCATGGCGCTGCCTTGCAGCTTAAGGCTAGGAAAATTTCGACGCGGCCATCAGGGCCGTGGTAGCATAATTGGTCAGTGCATTCGCCCGGATTGCGAAGGGTGCGGGTTCGAGTCCCGCTCGCTGCCTGGTCCGCGTGGATTTTTTTTTCTACTTAAACTTTTCTTTACATTTATATAAACATCTAACAGTTAAATGCTTAAAAATAAATAAAAACATAACTATAATTGCTATTTCTTCTTTCAAATGTTTAATACTTGAAAAAGTATTCATTTGACATTGTGGGTTACCTACAATGCGAAGGGATGGCGCTGCATTGCAGCTTAAGGCTAGGAAAATTTTGACGCGGCCATCAGGGCCGTGGTAGGATAATTGGTCAGTGCATTCGCCCGGATTGTGAAGGGTGCGGGTTCGAGTCCCGCCCGCTGCCTGGTCCGCGTGGATGTTTTTCTAGTAAAACTATTCTTTAGATTTAGTTTCTTTTTTTTCTAAATAAAAAAAAATATAACGTAAACATTTACTCTTGATTAAGTTAAATTTTGAAAATATATCAGCTTTTGCAAGTGATCTCAAACTTTTTTTGATGTGAGAATGTTAAATATTATTAACATTCTCACATCAAAAAAAGTTATTGAATAGGGGACATACACACATAAAATTTAAACATAGGTACATATATAATATTGACAAATATTAAATTATTTCAGATTTAAGATGACATATAAACATTTATTTATAGTTTATTTCAATTTTTATATTGCTGCTGCTCCGGTTGCATAGTTCCTGTGCCTTTAATATTTGTTAAAGTTGCTGCTGTGGGGTTGGTTAATTACTATCAAAAATGTCTACTTGAATAGTGAAAACGATTTATCGAGGCACAAAACTCGAGTAATAGCCTGTTGCCGCCAAAATCCATAGATAAATACCTGGCGGCTTATAAATTTTCAATCAGTGGAAAAACAGCAAAAACGGCAAGTCAAACAGCATATCCGGGGATCGTATTTTTAGCCTTCTTCAGTAAACTAGTAAATAAATACAAGCCCAGCTCACAACTCACATACACGATAGCGGTGTATATGTTACCGGCAATCTGTATAATTTGGCATTGTATTCTATCAATACCAGATGCAATGTATACAATGCCTAAAACGTCAAGGTAAGGTATGAAATATTATTCACTTTATACTTTGCATACCGAGTAGTAGTACAGAATACCTAGTATTCTATACAACTAGCAAACCAGTGAACCAAATATTCACCACAAAAAAAAATGTATTCAATTAATTGAGAACTTCGGAGATTTTGTGTGGTTTCGTTTGAAATAGAAATCACGTGATTTCTCGAAAACCGGAAGTGCTACGTTACTCACATCCGGTTTGTAGTCTTATCAGACTATTCTCAACTTATAACTTAAACATTCTCTTTATCTATCTCTTACGGTTTGGCCGCTGAAACAGCACCACTGACGGACGGACGGACGGACGGACTTGTCTAATAGATAAGAGATGCTGAATGCGCGGTCGGCAATGTGTATGTGCAATGTAAAATAAAATAGCGAGTCGACTTTTCCTTGTTTTATCTATTATTATCTATTCTATAATTATTAACTATCAGATGGCTGGCGCTTGGCCGGCCGCTGCCAAGGCACGCTCGCTTTGCTCGCTCAGCTTGCGCTAAGTTTAGGTCACAAATCTAACCCACTGTGAGTTGGTCGAACGGTTATTGGTCTGTAGTTAATTCAGTGAGAATTATAAAATCCGTCCGTCATTTTATATCCAACTGGGTAGGCTAGATTAGGTTTGGTTAGGATAAATACAGACCCAAACTGTTTATTTTACTCATTCTCTTTGGTCCAGAAGGTACTCTATACAATCCCCTAGGAATTGTATACATTACCTAGGCGAAATATAAAATGGAAAATAATATTTATAATATTTCATACATTGCCTAGACGCCCGAGGCATTCTATACATTGCATAGGTATAATACCCGTATTTTACAGATTACCGGTGACATTTATACTCCATGTTAAAAAATACAGTAAAGACCAAATATGAAGTTGATTTAAAAACATAATAGTAACTTAACGGCATTTCTAAAGAGACGTTCTGACCAACCGATGTTGAAAAGTTTTTGAAATATCTGAGCCCTGGACAGTCAGTACTTGGCAAGAAAGGCCAGTTGAACTTTATAAAAGTTACTAACAATACAAGTTTGTTTTTTATTGCAATTGTGTTGAAAAACGTCGTATGCAACTCGTGTGCATTGATCATTCATTATACACTCAGCTCCCTAACCGTGTGTTTACCTCCGTGCAATATCCAACTTAGCGCACTTGTATCATAATGTACTAGTAAATATTAAATGTAAATAAAATAAAATATTAACATTGAGTTACCTACCTTTTTTCTGAACCCTACGCCTAATCGTATAAGTGCACAAAAATATTGATATATTCGCATTTCATTAAGTGTTTTCTGAGCTACATTTATAACCTGTAAAATATTAAATATAACCAACTACATTTATAACCAATAGAACACAGTATAAAATATTTTCCCTATAACTTGGGTAGCAGTTGAGTAGCTTGCTACACGATTTTTGACATACAATAGCATCCTTGCAAATTGACATACACACACTACAATAATGAGTTGCCGCATTTACGGAGTTCTTGTTTATAGACAGCGAGGTATATAGTCCAGCAAAGCGAGACCATCATTTATCTATGTATTTTTGTTACAGGGTGGTTTAGTGATAACACTGATGGATGGTCGTCAATCCGTTTGCGGATCCTCACTGATCACCAACACTCGCTCTACGACTGCAGCTCACTGCTGGAATGACGGAAACAACCAGGCTCGTCAGTTTCAAGTTGTGTGGGGTTCCAACCGTTTGTTCACTGGCGGCACCCGTGTCAACACCAACCATGTCATTATGCACCCTAACTGGAACTTCCGCAACCTCAACAACGATGTAGCTGTGATCGTTCACAGCTTCGTCGGATTCAACAGTGAGTCTCTCCAAAATAATTTATAAAAAAAATAACTACATTATAACAGAAGATATTACTATAAAAAATAATCCACGCGGACCAGGCAGCAGACTGGACACATTAAACATCGTGGAGTTACATGCTTAAAAAATAAAATAAAAAACACTATATTATAACAGATTAACGAATAATATACTTCTTCGAGCTCATTGCTATATTTCAGATAACATCAACAGGATCCAAATGGCCAGTGGAAATAACGCTTTCACCGGAGAGTGGGCAACGGCCGCCGGTTTCGGTCGTATTAGTGACTGTAAGTTCCCTATATTATTTTTTAAAAATTAACACAGTATTTAATTAGATAATTTAATCTTACATTGTTATATACACAAACAGTCTCAATCGTAATCCCCTGGTATGTCACGCCAGTGAAACAAATTACGGCGTTTACAGGGTTTGAATAGAAACGCAATAGATGTAACAATGTTTTCCAAATTCCCTTTAGAGTTTTGTTTCAAGTCGGTAAAAAACTATTTACAGCTCAAGGAATCACTACTGCCCAGGCCAAGAGGCACGTAACCGTGCAAGTTATCTCTAACGCAGCGTGCAGTAATACTTTCGGCAGTATTATTGTCGGTTCGACCCTCTGCGTCGCCACCACTGGCGGCAACAGCCCTTGTCCAGGAGACTCTGGTGGCCCCCTTGCCGTCGGATCCGGCAACAATCGTCAACTTGTGAGTACCCATATATAACTATATCGTCTACAGCTATAGGATTAAAAAGGTGTCAAAAATATACACTACATTTAGCATTTGTTAAATGTATGTTTACTTACGCCTTCATTGCCTATACATGCCTTTACCTAATAGTTTCAGATTGATTTTGTAAAACCCATGTAATATAGATTGCTTTTTCCGAAGCCACTATTTATAAAGGTTTCGTTTTAATGAGAAATACTGAAGTTTTAACTTGAAGATCATTCGGTACAATAGCAATCTTTCTGCCGTCTGGTATAAAAGTATTAGGTTCAAATCCCGAGACATAGTTTTATTATTTACCTTATTTTGTTTCTCACTTGATGTTGTTACAGCCCTGCAAATGATATAATAATTGTGTCGAATCGAGTGTTGCTTAAACTGTTTTCTACTTTGTTCTCTGTGACCTGAAAGATTTTTTTCTTCACAGATTGGTATCGTGTCATTCGGCTCTGCCGCTGGCTGTACCCGCGGCTTCCCCGCAGCCTTCGCTCGAGTCACCTCATTCAACTCCTGGTTCTCACAGCATATGTAAATTTTACGATGCGTTCAAGGCGTCATTGGTTTATGTATCATAATGATTGTTTTTATGAAATATAAGGCTAGCTGATTTAAATTGGATTTATTATTAGAATAAGTACCATTGTGATTATGATGATGAGCATAACAGTAAATCTATTACATATTTGTATTTACCCTAAATTTTGTATAAAACTATAATAAGTAGGTATACAGCAGTAACTGAGTCCTACTAATATAATAAATGAGAAAGGAAAGGAAATTAAAAATTCATTGCAGGCGGAGGCCCTCTTAAGATTGTTAAAGTGTTTAGCGGAACGGTTCCCCGACTGCAAGGAATGGCTTCCGATGTCAACAATAAAGCAATAAGGAACCCTTGTAGTTTCTCTATTGCCAGATACTTTAACTAAAAACTTAGCTCAGAAACTCTTAGCAGTACAGTTATATAAGTCTTCCACCTCGAAATTCCCTTCCTTTTGACATAAAACGTAACGGTAACGTGTCAAAAGTCACAATGGGTGGGGTGTAAGAGCCTGCGCTGCGTTAAGCGGGAGCACGAAGGCGCTGTTTGAGGCGAGTCTCCTGCGCAACACTGTTCTATGTAATGATAGAAGGCTATCGAACAAAAAAAAACAATTCAAACCAGTAGTTTTGGTTACTTTAATGTATAGATACAACATTTTAATAACTGAATAACCAACAAATAGAGAACATAACGGATGTTCAACAAAATCTAAATTATGACAAATATATTTTCATCATCAAGGAGCTCGATGGCGCATGGTATTCGCGATCGCCTGCGGTCGTTGAAGTTACAAGTTCGCAGTGGTCTCTCTTTGGATGGGTACTCCCGCTTATCTGAGGCAGATAAGATATTCGAGGTCAAAGGTTACAAAAATTACTTCAATCTATCACAAGTTACTTCTTATGTCGAAAAGGTGGGCTCTAACAATTTTCAGCTTGTTACCTCATATTCCGAGGTTAAGCTCTTTTAAGCTAATATGACTGGACTACGGTAGTAGAAAATTTTTTTTAGCATACATATGTACATTATATTAAGGATCCCAAAAAGATGAGAAATAGATTTTATTAAATAAAATAGGGTACTCCCCTAAACATAAAGTGGAGGTGTTTTAGGGTTCCGTACAGCCAGCCATTCTTGTTTTCTATTTCTTATAATATTTGTGTGGTGCTATCATATCATACAGCCTGTCTATGTGGAAAAAAATGACGAGTTTACAATAATCAAAATGAATATATAACCAATTTACTTCATAAAAATAAAACTAAAATCCACGGACCTGACTAAAATCATCATAAAATAAAAGGCCCATTTTGACATTTGTGCTCCCATGAAGTTTCATATTCAAAATTAGTTCTAAACTTGAAAAAATAATTATGTTCTTCATTGTCATTAGAGACGTTCAGTTTGTCATAAAATATATCGAATCGGTAATTTGGAGACGTAAAATTAAAATTTTATAAAATCATATTAAATAACCTCGTACTATGGAATATTGTCCGGAAACTTTTTATATCATGTTTTAAACCATGCATTATATAATTTTCAACATACAAAAACCTCTATTCATCCGACAGAATCTTTAAAAGATTTAGTAAATTTGTTTCTTAGGTTTTTACGCACATACCTCATTAAAGAAAACTAGTTTTTTACGGGTTAATGCACGAAACTTTATTTTTTTATTGACGTGTCGTGCATTAACCCGTAAAAAACTAGTTTTATTTAGATTTTGTAAAATTAATTCACTTCATAATTATCATTAAGAACTATATGTCATTATTTTTTGAAATTAGTGTCCTTATTTACAACATGACTCGTCTCGGTATTTGTTATTTTCGAAATTAGTGTGTAAAAATTATAAATTCAATATGATCACTGCATATAGGATCGCTGAGTGTAAGTTAACATGTTCGTTTTAATTAATCTCTTTAATCAGCTAATACTTACAATTTTAATTAAAATTAGTAAAAAGTCAAGAGTTAGTAAAAAAATTATCATAAATTGGGACAATGTCATATTTTAACTCGGAATCCTACAGTCATGGTTACAGACGATACCAAGGCATCTTGGTCAAAATTGCCTATGGGAAAGGTTGGACGCCTAATAATCTGCCACGCCTGATTAGCCGAGGGAGGTTTTGTGCATGATGCTCTACTGGCATTCGAGCCTAAAATTACAAAAGAATATCACGAATAAATGGAAGCAAATAAATTCACAGAGTGGTTTACTAATCTGCTAACAAAATACTCCGGACAGTGCATAATCATTATGGACAATGCACCTTACAAATCAGTTGAATTAGATAAAGCACCAACTCAAGAAAGCAAAAGACTGATTTAGTGGCTTGGCTACAAAGACAAGGCGTTGAAGCTGACATGAATTTGTTGAAATCTGAACTGCTGAAGCTTGTAATAGAAAGTAAATCTGCGGAATTCAAATATAAAATTGATAAATTGGCACTTCAGCATGGACACAAATTGATAAGTCGGCCGCAGTACCATTGTCAGTACAATGCTATTTATACAGAGTAAAAACTAAAAGGCCGTCACAACACATTTTTATTTCTAGGTTGACTCACTATACTCTTTTTCCTAAAATTAGCCCAGGTGAAACCGCAAGGCACAGTAAATAATTAATAAGAGCACACCGACCAGTGTTGCCAACTCTACGTCTTTTTACGTAGATCTACGTATTTTAGGCCTTTTCTGGAAACCTACTAACTTCAGTCCCAGAATCTACGTATTTTCTTATTTTTTTTCAAATTTGTAAAATAACTTAATTCACTAGAATAAAGAAGAATATTTTCCGTTACTTTACTTAAAAACTATACAAATGTTTATTTCTTATAAAGATGTATCTAAACACTCTTGTATCTTGTAGAAAAGGTTCCCGTTATTGGTTTTGTTGACTACTCTTTGACTTAGTAGGTACATTCATAACCTTAAAAATTGTATTTTTAAACTTTTACTTCTATCTATGAGTACCTACTCACATCGAATTGATCTTTGCAAAAAGAAAAGACTTTCAGTCGATAAAGTTACAGGATTTAGCAAGTTTTAAGCATATGTTCATGTGTAAGTATGTTTTTTCTCTTGGCAATTTAAACCACAACTTTTCTAGAGTCTTTTACCAAGTGTATCATGATAACTACTATATTTTTCATGTGATCTATTAGAAATCATGGTTTTATAATATTAACTTAGCTGTTTATTTCCTACGTGCTTGCGAGTGTTTGTTTACAAATGTTTTGACGTCATAGCATAGATAAGTCTATAGACTAAATTTTGTATGTCTTCTAGGTAAAAAAAAAATGTTTTTTCGTTCTGATAGAACAATTATTAACAATTTAAAACATAATTCCAAAAAGTGTCAACTAGCCCATTTAAAAACAGTTTATCCTTGTCATTCTCTATACAGAATGAAAAGGAGAGACTGATGTTAAATTAAGTTTTAAATTTAGAGAACCATCCAGAATCGGCACCCACCAGTGTCTGTGTCTGATGGTAAATGTTTACCACAGCATGGTAAATGCTTCCAAATTTCCAATGCAGCGACTTCTCTAAGAACTATTTGTTCTATCTCCCGTTCTTAAACAAATTGTATAACAAAATACTCGTTTTATTCGGTTTCAAATAACTTCTTCATTTCACTCAGAAAAAAGTACGTAGATCTACTTACTTTTCATATGCAAAATATACCCACTCTAAGTAATTTTCTCATCGGGCCTACGTCTTTTTCAAAATCCGAGTTGGCAACACTGCACCGACCTATGGTCCTAATAACGATAAGTTGACAACCTGTTATTGTTTCAGTTTATTGTAAAACATGGTATATTTCTAGTACAGGTAATGTAGAGAACGCAAACTGATTTAAAAACGAAGAGCTGATTATGCATCTAAGTGAAAATACTTCAGAAAAAGGTTTTTATTATTCATGAAACAGCACAACTTACTGATTGTCTATCAAAACTATTAAAAAAAAAAGTGTGGCACTCGGGGACTGCCGCGGTAAAGCTATTGCATAGCGTTATTTATCAACTGATGCAATTGTTATTATTTATTTATTTTATTTATGCATTTTTTTTTCTTTGTTATCAATTCAAGTTTTTTCTAAAGACCACGGGGTGATAAATCACCCCGTGGTAAAGCCGACGGCACGACGCCTTTTGCCCACATTTCCCACATTTTGGAGGAGCCGACCGACTCCGGCTGCGGCGGCGCACAGCCGGAGAGCGAGGAGCCTAAAATCCTCCTCGAAGCTCCATCGGGGATCCAAGATCAGGCCGAGATACTTGATATGCATCTCGACGGGAACCTGGACCCCCTCTACTCGGACACGGAGACGGGCAAGAAGCCCCGGTGGGGGCCTGCTTCTGGGGCCATGGAACAGCACGGACCTCGTCTTCTCGAGGGCCACTTCCAGCCCCAGGAGGCCGATGCGTCGGACGACCATGGAGGTGCCGACCGACGCAAGGTGGACCGCCCCCTCCCAGTCCTTCTCTCTCGCCGCGACAAGGGTGTCGTCCGCAAAGCATACGACATCCATCCGCGGCAAGAGCTCACCACGCAGGACCCAGTTGTACCGCAGGTTCCATAGTAGAGGGCCTAGTACGGAACCCTGGGGTACACCTGCCGCCACTGGCCACGACTGGACGCGGCCCTCCGTATCCTCGTACATGACGGTCCTGTCTCGCAGGTAGTCTTGTACGAGGGCGCGGAGGTAGAGGGGCACTCGGTGGAATTCGAGCGCCGCCTCTATGCACTCGTGGGGGATGGTGTTGAACGCGTAAGCCGTACTGGCAGTCAGCCAGGTCCGGTCCCTCGCCCTCAATGTGCTCGATGATTCGGGAGGCGAGAATCTTCTCAAAAGCCTTCCCAGCCTCATCGAGCAACACCACCGGCCGATAGCCCGCTGGAGAGTCCGCCGGGCGGCCCTCCTTACAAAGCAGGCAGAGCCGCCCCACTCTCCAGCGCCTGGGAAAGTGACCCGTTGCGATACATACGTCCAGCACGCAGTTAGATGTTGGTTTAATGTAACGGATATTACGTACCACTTCAGTCATATTTTACAAATACAAAATTCAATCGTATCGTATTTGGAGGAACCCAAACTTACCATGTTTTGAAAATGATTTTTATTTTATTAACAAATGACGGAAATGTATTGATTATGATATATATTTTTGGAATCGGCTCTAGAGCCGAACCAACCCTAGGGTTGTAACGATATATCGACTAACTGAACCCAAAATATCGATATATTAAATTCATGGATATATCGTTAATATCGATACCGCAAAACCAAAACTATCGATACTTGGGAGGCCAAACTTTTATATATTTAATAT